GGATCCTAATTGGGTTTATGATGCTTCTAACTCTTTAAAATGACTAGGGATCCTAATTGGGTTGTTGATGCTTCTAAGTCCTTAAAATAACTAGGGATCCTAATTGGGTTTATGATGCTTATAACTCTTTAAAATAACTAGGGATCTTAATTGGGTTTATGATGCTTCTAACTCTTTAAAATGACTAGGGATCCTAACTGGGTCTTTTGATGCTTATAGCTCCTTAAAAGAACTACTTACTAAGTCCCCCGACCCTCCAAGTGTGGTCAAGGGAACCAGAAAGGCGCGCAGCCCATCCACAGGGCTTCTGAGGGCGGTTTAGGGTTTAGGGTGAAAGTTTGGGGCGGTTTAGGGTTCGGGGTTAAAGCTTAGGGCGGTTTAGGATTTAGGTTTTAAAGTTTAGGGCGGTTTAGGGTTTAGAGCTTAGGTTAAAGTTTATGGGTGCCCATTATGCCCGGAATATCGGACCCTCAGGTACCCTGGCCTCACACTTCATCTATCTTTACAAGTAAATACTTTGGCCTTGAAAGGGGCTTTTTGTATAGGCACTATGAGGTTCTAAGTACAAAAACTGCCCTAACCCCTATAAACCCTAAACCCTAGACCGTCATATACTGCAAAGGCACATGGAGCCTGAGGTTTCCTAGCTACGAATCCTTCATAACTAGGTTCCCCAGTAGCCCCTTAATTATAAGGGTACCCTTTTTCCTACTATTTGGTTTTAACAAGGGAGCCCAAAAAGAAAAAGGGCAAAAGGGTACTACTGGGGAACCTAGATAAGCACGGCGGGGATGCAGAGCCATAGGGGCAGGCGCCAGCAAACCTGGAGTGACTCACAGGAGCAAGGAGTCCAGGGCTTCAGTTTTGTTAGCACTCTTCGGGTTCGGGTTTATAGGTTTAGGGTTTAGGGTTTAGGGTTTAGGGTTCAGGGCAACATGGGACCTAAATTAAATGTGGATCTCGAGGATCTCATCGGACATATCTTTCAAACGCATGGAACATGTCCGGGATGTCTCGAATCCTTGCTTTCAACCCTGGCATTGAGGCCTGTAGCGGACGCGGATGACTCTTACGTCTTCAACTCGAGTGTAGGACAGGTTTGGACCGACCTAAGGCATAGCTTCGGAATACGTGAGTAATTAATTTAGGCTCCTATGGCCCTGGCGCAGCCTGAGCCAGCAAGGACAAGATATGCCGCCCCTTTCCTCAGAGGCTTCCCTGGACGCCTTCGTCGGCTGACGAACCCTAAACCCTAAACCCTAAGGTGGCCCTTCGCCCTGGAGTTGAACTTGGGTCGCCAAGGGCGTTTATGTAGTGCAGCATGTAAGCGCCTCAGAGGTTTTGGGTTTTCCGTGGCGAAGATTGTTGGGGCTTGGGGCTTGTATTGGATTTGAAGCGGGATTGGAGGCCAAGGGCCGAGTCAGTGCCTTGACAAGGGATTCTGTAGGGTCTAAACCCTAAACCCTGAATCCTAAACCCTAAATCCTGACTGAATCCTAAACCTTAAACCCTCAACCCTAAACCAGTTTTGGGGGTTTGCCCGAGCCTTGGATTTGGAGGGTCTGGGAATTACTTAGGTCTCATGGACAGCCAGGACCGGTTTCGTACGTTGGGTTTGGGGGTTAAGGGTTTAGAGTTCTTCACGCTAACCCCGAACGCTAACTCCAGCAACACCTCCCCATATCCAACACCTCTTCACTTCACCTGTTTATTCTGGCATGTTACTTGCCGGTTCATGAGTACAGTAGTTACAAGCAGGGTTTTACAAGTCCTCTAGTGTGGGTACTTTAAGTATAGTTGTCCTACTTACTTATGACCCTAATTTTTAACGACCCAACTTACTTATGACCCTACTTTTTAACGACCCATGAACCTCCAAGCATCAAGCTCTCATTATCGCCAGAATCCTTAAGAGTCCAAGTGCTCTTTTAGGGTTTAGGGTTTAGTAGGGTTTAGGGTTTAGGGTTTGGTTTAGTCAGGGTTTAGGGTTTCGGGTTTAGGGGGGCTGAGCAGCACAAAGTAGATATGAGGCGATGTTGAACAGTTGCAGCTATACAGCTTAGGAAGCTACAAAACCCCGAGGCTCCATGTAACTTTATAATAGTAGATGCTTAAGCCTTAAAGGAGTCCCCATATGGGTAGTGTAAGGGTTTAGGGTTTAGGGTTGAAGGCCTAAGTATATACTATACGGGTACATGGAGCCTTATGGCAAGAGGCCTCTGACGGCCAAACAGCCGACACCCTATAAGCGCCAAGGCCAGCGGCACCTAGGGTGTTAGGGTCTAGGGATTTAGGGTTTACGGCCTTGGGGTTTTGGAAGATGCTGGGTATCTACACCAGAAACCCTAAACCAACAATCCTAAATACCAACCAAAAACCTAAAGCCTGAATGACTTGCCAAAGGGCTTTCCCTGCCACTCGTGCTCACACATGTCGGTGCCTTGGCAGGCTTTATAGGGATTTAGGCGTCTAGAGATGTTTAGGGTTTATAGGGGTTTGCAGTGGATTTTTTTTGTCGGGTTTACGGGGGTTTTTGGTTTCTAGGCACGGTTTTAGGCGCAAGGCTCGGTGTCGAATCTAGTATACGCCTACGCCGTGCATGTGATTGCCAGCCCCAAAACCTACCCATAGGCCCCTAAGTAGTTGCTTTTTATGGTTGATATTTTGGAATCCAAAAAGGTAATCCCAAGAAGGAACTACATAGGGGCCTATGGGTAAACACTAACCGGCAAACCCGAGTACCACTCCTGCCCAGTGGTTCTTCAACTTTCGGCCGGTCATCCCTTCAATCTGCAGACCCCTGATTCAAAGGTGGCGATATGCATGCTGCTTCGATCTGCCTGCTGCTTCAACTTTGCCTGCTGCTTCGAGTCTCTTAGTTTTGCGAGATAAGCGCAGGATTAGAAGGTAAGTTGCAGAGAGAGAGCGAGAGAGAGAGAGACACACACACACCCACACCCACACCCACACCCACACGCTCTCTGTCTCTCTCGCTCTCACTCTCTCTCTCTCTCTCTCTCTCTCTCTCTTTCTTTGTTTCTCCCTTTTTCTCTTTCTCTCTATCTTCTCTGTACATGTGACGAGCCAGGTCCTCCTCTGTCTTCAGAACGATATGACCTCTCATTCTGATTGGATTCCCAGTTGCTGATTATTCACTCGTTTCAACCCTTGTCCATGCCTCTCTTTACCCTTCCCTTTCTTGCTTGCCGTGTCTGTCCGTGTGGCTGTCGGTCGGTTCATCGGTCTATTCCTTTGTCGAATTGTGTAAGTAGAAACACGTGCGAATGTGCGAGGCGAGACCTCGGCATGTGGGTCTTGTGGAGCAGCTAACTGGAGATTTCTTTGATTCGCTGCATTTCTGCAAAAAGAAGGATGGCTCGGTATGTATATTCCATGATTCCAGGAAGTTTCGGGGATGGTAGATAGGCATCATCGTTCCCTGGAAATCAGACATCGCCCAGGTGTGAGTTGTCTCCAGCCAAAAGTCAGCATACAGACGGATCGTACATGCTAGACTAGAAGCTGATTCTCTTTGTCTGTCTCGCTGCCGCTCATGATTCGTGGCCGGCTGCTTGTTGCCAAGGCTTGGACAGAGACTGCAACCGCTCGTGGGCAAGACCCCCGTAGGTTGTTTTCTTGTCCGCCAGAATAACAAACCCTAAGCCCTAATTAAACTCCGGAACATGCCGTTGAAGTCTCTGCTTATCCCGTAAAGCCACGCTCGTCCCACGAATCGTACCTGAATATGTTAGTGCAAGGGAATACTGTAGTTGTTTAGAATCCGCAGAGAAAGCCTTGACTCAGCCCCAAACCATTGACACCGATAATTCAAGGTCTTGAAGTCTTGATTGATTCGATTGTTTCGAGTCATGCACTGTCATCCTGCAGCTTCGTGGGTTCGTTCCAGGGGAGAGGCTGGGGTTCGGGATTCATGGAGCTGTCGATCGTGGCTGTCTAGCACACAGGGGAGGTGGTGGCAGCACACGAAGTCAAGTAGAGACGTGGCTCTAAAGCACAAATAGGTCTCTCAACAACTCAGTAAAATTAGCAGCGACGAGATTCGGAGTCAGAGGCCCGCTCTCCATACCCTGTTATGGCCGGATCTGAGAACCCCCATTGCTCAGTCTCCATCCCAGAGCTGCAAAATTGAGGCCCCAATATAAACAATAAATAAATCTTCTCCTCTCAGGACTAGAGCAGGATTCACACTAGGACCCGGGCTTTTGCTTTTGTGGTGCTTCCCGACTACTGAAGCTCTCCTTTTCTCGAGGTTTGGGTCGCCCTCGGGACTCCGGCTCCGAAAGTCTTTCAGCCCGAGGCTCAGCTGTGTCCGCTGGGTTTTCCGTTCTGGGCTTGCCGAGAAAGGAATTTGGCTCTAAAGAGGCGGGCTTTCCTGCTGCTTCGAGAAAATTGCTGTCTAAAACAGACCCCATGCTGCTGCTTCGGCATGACTCCACTTCGATTCCGGTTTCGGGTTCGCGAGTCGTCAACACAAAACCGCCGAAGCAGACGCATAGTCTGATCTAAAGGCCAAAATCTAATGGAAGACTGTAAATAGACAAAAGGCCTTGCTTTAGAGCCTGCTGCTTCGATGCTGCTGCTTCGACGGTTCACTGCTCGCGAGTCGCAAACCGCAAACGCGACAAGCAGCCACGTCACGCGAAGCAGACGCATCGCCCCAGCCAGTTCTCTTTAGATCCCAGGAGAGGAATGGACTTGTTGCTGCAGGCGAAGATAGAAGAGCTGAGGAGGCCGGCCGGGGCAGAATTCCGGATTTTCTGTTCTAAAGGGCGACCAATGCTGCTGCTTCGTCTGATGCTGCTGCTTCAAGCAGACGCCTGCTGCTTCGAAAACACACCTGTTCTAAAGGACAGAAGATCTGGACGAGAAGCGAGCCCTGCAAGAGAAGTTCCGAAAGTTCTTGGACCTGGCAGACGCCAAGCTAGAGAAAATTTCAGACCGGCTGGGCATCGTGAAAGCTGAGACTTGGGAGAACTCCCGCTCCAGTCAATCCGTGTCTTCTGACTTTTGATATTGAAACCCGTATCCGACTTATAACTAATTGATAATTGTTTAGAGACCGAAGCAAGCCGTCCCCATGGATGCAGGCTCAGTTGGATGATGCCCGCAAAGCAGCTGCCCTTGTGGGCTTGGTCATAAGGCCACGGCAGTTCGCCTCGCCGCTTGCAGCGGGTGAGTCAGGGGACCTGGAGGAGTCTGCATCCGCTGCCGCCTCTTCCTCGGAACGCCGTCTTGGCTCGTCTTCTTTATCTGCCAGCAAGACATATTACATGACTGGTCAAGCCGGCATGAAATGTGTCTTGCAGATCCACGATGCTTCTGGGCTGCCTTGTGTCTTTAGCCAGCAATCGCAGGCACAATCATCATGGATTGCCAAAGCTTTAAAATTACTATGGAGCCTCAACCAGGTTCCGAGCTTGATGACCCGCACCTGTGGGTGCAGACATCTTCTGAGAACAGAAGAAGTGTGGAAGGTGCTGGCCCGCAACACCACGTACCCCAATTGGTACTCCCGCTTGAGTCTAGGAACCAAATGCTGCTGGAATCTTGCCTAGTGTCTCGATAAGACGCACTCACATATGTCATGCTGCCGACCCAAGCTGTGCTCTAAGGAACGAGGGCATCACGCAGGATATCTCTCGAGACTGGAGCATCGACTACACGTGCCATCCTGTGCGGCCGTGCAGCTACAGGGGCAGCAGTGTTAGCGAGCCCGCTGCTGCAATCAACTTCGAAGGCATGACCTTCCCGGGGTTCTTCTTCGCAGTGCCTTGCTTGCTTCGCCATGTGAGTTTGTCTGTCGACTGCTTCCTTTTCCTCTCAGGGGCTCCTGTGCGGCATCTTACAATCCAGATCTGCCGGCGACAGATGTGGACGAGGCTTTGACAAGCGGCTTTTTGGTTTCTCCGAAGAAGAGATCCCAAGCTCAGGCATTTTGCATCTGCTTTTCATGGGCGCAGCGAGCGCTGAAGGTCAAACGACCGAAGCAGAGCTGAGGTTTTTGTGCTGGGATGTCATTCAGAAGATCGAGAGTCTTGATGTCTCCACTAAGACACAAGTTGCAGACAATATCTTCTGATTGACTTTTCGGCTTGGGGCTTTCGTCTTCAGACGTGGATTTGAGACTTGACGTGCAGTGCTGGGTGCCGAAAAAAAGGAGCCAACTCGAGAGAGAGCCTGCATTAATCTCGTAAAAATAGAAGTCTCGAAGCAGACGCGTAAATCGAAGTAGATGCCAAATCGAAGCAGCATGCATATCGCCACCCTTGACTGATACTAAACCCTAAACCCTAAACTCATGTAAAGGTTTTCTATAGGAGCTAATGAGCCCAAGCTGGGAATCTTCTCTCAGCTCTAGATCCTCTGCAAGGCCTAGGCTGGCAACCCGAAATCACGGAGGCATGAACATGCAGCCCGCAGCAAAACAGACGACCCGGTGGACTCATTTCTCTGGTCCTACTGCAAGCATCTGTCATAGCCTCTACTTATGGGGCCCCCAATACCCATGCTACACCAAGAAGTGCATAAAATCATAGGCCACAAACAAACTCGTTCTCTGAGAAAGGGCAACTGAAGGTTTGGAAACATCTGAGAATAATTTGGAACCCAGAATACCCCAAACTAAAACCCACCTAAACCCGGATCCCAAATCGTAAACCCAATAAGCCCTAGACCCAGAAATATTCAATCCTGGAAAGGTACAACGACCTGCTTCCTTGAGTATATGCTTCCTACAAACTCTATACTGGGTTCAGTAGGGTCGGTGAGCGACTCTACCGCGGCGAGTGAACTTCGGCTTAGGGTTTATATAGGGTTTAGGGTTTAGTGTGTAGGGTTTAGGGTTTAAGACGTCTTTCGTCCCAGTCAAGCGCACATTGTACTGGCATGCATCAGCCAAAGAATCCTACAAGACAATAAGACTATACCAGTAATGTATGTAATAAGCCGCAGCCCTAAAACCCTAAACCCAAAACCAGGGGGCGCCGAGTGCGTGCTCCTAGGGTTTCGGGTTCTGCAGCTGACTCAAAAACAAATCGAATACAAGGCCGCTGGGCGAACCTGAACCTTGGCATGACCACAACCCCAAGATACTTACTTTCCTTCTTCAGGAACTATTCAAGGAAGTCATAATACGGAGCCCTAAAATTGTGGGGTTTCTTACAGCCCAGGTAGGGCTGCGGAGTGAAAATTCTGGGTTCCGGTTCCAGCCTCAGAATCCTCCGCAGCCAAGCTTCAAAACCCCAGAGAGTCACTAGGCTTAGGATTTGAGGGTTTAGGGTTTAGAGTTTAGGGTCCTGAAAGACCATCCTTACTTCAGGGGGCGGACCTAACAACTAATAACCCTAAAACCCTAAACCCT